GCCGGGCTGAGGACCCACCTCCTCCTGGGGGGGAACCCTCGGCCCCGCTGGCTCCTTCCACCAACTTTCCTCAGAATTTGAAAAAGAAAAAACAAACACGGAGGCTGCCGTGACGGGGCGACGGGGACCCCGGGTGGGCCAGACCCCTTCCTGTGGCCTCAGCCTTAGGCCGCAAGGACCCTGGTGCTGAAACCTCTGGGTTTCCCTGCGGACAGGCTTCCAGCCCGAAGGGTCCCAGGTGCGCGAGGGGCCTGGGCTGATGCTGCCCCCGCAGCGCCGGCCGCAGGGGCCATGGAACCTCAGGGAAGGCGGGAGTCGAACCCATCCCGCCAGCATCTGCTCAGCATGTAATTTCCTGAGACAGTCGTGTTACCAAAGAAACAGCAAATCCTCACGAATGGAGTCACTTCAGGTCCCCGCCATCAGCCAGGAAATTGGTGCTTATTTTTGAAAATCCAGTATTTTGAGGTTGAAAACCAGTCTGTCGGGGCTTTAAACAGCATTGGCCATGCACACGAGAAGCTGCTTTCAAAACCGTTTCACCCGCCCCTGACAGCCCCCCACCCCGTCGTTAACTCTCGCTTACGGTGGGATATTCAGCAAATGGAAAGACGCCTCCCAGGCAGCAAACCAGTGCTGCCAGGGACCTAGACCCAGGGCTGGTTTCTCCCATAGGTTACAGGTCCCCCTCAGACACCAGCCTGCAGACAACAGGCCCCCTCTGCCCTTGTATAACCGACAGACATCCGCTCCCATACTGGCGCCTTGGGGAACCAAGCACAGGGGAGGCCCTGTGTTCTGCAGCGTATTTCCTCCCGGCGACGTGTGGATGCTCTCCCACCCCCAGCCAACAAGCCGCTTCTGAGACGCAGCCACGTGGGGACATTCAAGATCGAGGACCCACCACTCGCGGAGTTCTGCACACGCACACGCATGCACCCCACAGCAAAGCACCTGCAAGGGCTCATCCTGACTCCGGGAACCTCCCACACCTGGGTCTGAATTGAATATAGCTCAGCACACAGCAGCAATGCAAATATGTTCATGTTTATTCTATCTTAAGTGAAACGTAATCAATTCTACCCTTTGAATCTTACTTTTCTGCATATTTAAGCGGTTCTTTGTAAGGGAAAACCAGGCCACTCAAGAGCTTTGGTAAAACTGTAGCCGCACCTACTTACACGAGCGCAGCAGCTCGTCCATTGAGACCCCCAATTCCACAGGGCGGTGCCCCCAGGACCAGCCAGGCAAGGCGGAGCCTGCTCATTCTCACCATGGAAACCGTACACGACACCGAGGAGCCAGACCTACTTCTCCCCGTAGCGGCCTGCTGGTTGGTTGTCCACATCCTTGCACCAACTCACAAAACGAAAGCATGAAAGCTGTGGTGTGTCCGACTGAAACCCTTGGTTTGGCGTCTTCAAAGCTTGGGAGTCACTGGAAAGCAGTGGGCAAACCTGGAACGCCTCCTGGAACTCAGCTCCACGTCGACATCAACACCAGGGCCAAAGGCAGGGGAGGGCGGCCTTTACGTTCATCCTAACAGGCGGCTTCCCACCAGCCCTGCTGTCACTTGCACAGCCCCCCCCCCCCCACCCCCAGCTCTGTGCTACCACATGGCGACCTTTGCCATCACAGAGAAGCATCCATGGCTCTTTAAGTGCTGGTCGCACGCACCACCTTTACTCTGGCGGCTGCTAAATCCTCACGAGCACTTCCCAGGTGACCCCGCGGGCCAGAAGGGGGGGGGGCGGGGGAGGTGCTACTTTAGCTTAACTGCATTGGCAATATTTACAGCTTTGAACAACTTACCAAATAAATATTGACCTGTCATAACATTCGTGCGAAATGACCCAAATGTACAAAATATAAAGACTGGGAAAATGGAAGGTAACAGGCTCCAAACTAAGCGACAATAGTAACGGCATCCTGAACAGCAACAGCACAGTCTTCCTCGTTAGTGGTTTTCAAGTGCTTAGTAAACAAGGGATAAGCTCACTTGCTTAGATATTTGAAATACAACTTTATTCTGATTCTAAACGAAAAGGAATGGGAATGACAGTAACAAACAAGGTTTCACCACTGAGTATCGTGATGCGACTGCAGCATTCTTATAGTTGAAACTCAATACGGAAACAACTGCGTTCCAGAACAGCTAAATATGCAGGTCCAAAAAGTGAAGGTATTGTAACTGCCACATTCACTCGAAGCCCATTCATCTCAGCATCCCAGGATCAAGCACAGGTTCTCTTTGCTTAGCTATATAATAAAGTGGCAAACACGCGGCACCACTGACATCACAGGACAGTTGCCTATAAAACTAGACTTCTGACGCTGGGCTGCAGCTTCCCTCACAGGTCGTCATCCTCGTCTGGGAGCGCGGTGGTCTGAGCAACCTGGACAGAGAGACGCACATGTCACGCTGCAGACGCCGCGGCAGGCGCGCGCGCTCCCAGCATCCCCGGGAAGGACACTCACCTCGAGGTCGTGCTCATACTGTGCTGCCAGCGCGGGGTCCATGACCACCTCTGGAGGGGCGAGGGCAGGCATGGCGACGAACTCCAAGTTAGGGTCTCCGATGAGTTTTCTAGCAAGCCAGAGGAAAGGCTTTTCAAAGTTGTAGTTACTTTTGGCAGAAATGTCGTAGTACTGTGGAAAAGAGAAGTAAAATTTAGTGAATCCAGGAGACGTTTCAAGCCAAGACAAAATCCTCTCGATCCACACACTACGAGTCGCCGTGATGGATTTCACCGAAGGGGGCGATTCGGTGAATCGAGGGCCCGCACCTGAAGGTTCTTCTTTCGGTGGAAGACAATGGACTTCGCCTTCACTTTCCTGTCCTTGATGTCCACTTTGTTGCCACACAAGACGATGGGGATGTTCTCACACACGCGCACCAGATCGCGATGCCAGTTAGGCACGTTCTTGTAAGTGACTCTCGAAGTTACATCGAACATGATGATGGCACACTGGGCTGAAAGACGGGTTCACAGAGATTAGTACATTCCCAGGAATTTCCGACACGGATGAGAGGTAATAGGAACTATGAATTCAAACGCATGATCTCAGGCCAAACTCCAGGTCAACTAGATGTTTCTCAATTTCAAGGTCTCCCAATTCTAAGTGTTGTACTAAACAATATGTGTAGGCAGTGGAACCTCGTTTCTCAAACTTAATTTGTTCCAGAAGGCTGTTCGAAAACCGAATCATTTTTCCCCATTAGAAATAAACTGAATGAATCTGTTCCAGACCCCCAAATGATGCCATTTTAGCCTTTCTTATATACGGTGCAAGTCTATTGCGCTATAAACACTAAAAATAAAAAGGACATGAAATGTAAATTTAACAGAGAAAAAGAAATGTACGGTAAAAAATGAAAATTTAACCAGTATCAGCAACAAAAGCGAAAAACACAAAAATATTCACACACTGTCCTGAGATGGGGGCCCACGTTGTGACTGGTCACCCAGGGGCAGCAGGAAGGGCTGTCAGGATGGAAGACCAGCCCGCCACCCCCCCCCTGAAACACCCCATCTTCCGCCTCATCCGCACGAGCACCCCCAGATCATGGCAACCAGCCTTCATCCCAGAGAACCCACCCCCCACACCCGAGGGTCCAGAGACCTGTCCTTCACTAGGCCCTCGGGTGGCTGGGTCCACAGGATGTTGTCTGTGTTTTAAAGCAGCGAAGCCCCCACCTATGGACCTGCACACACGGCCGTGACCAGGGGAGTCGAGAGCCAGCAGCGCAGCCAGGAGGGCGCCCAGCAACTCGGACCCAGAGCCAAACCCCAGGAAGTCGATTTCTCTCTGGTCATCTTTCTGGAGCAACAACGAACATTCCTTTCCTTTGCCATTTTTAAACCAAGCATTTTGGGGGGAAATTTTTTTACTTTATTTTGCAAAATTCAGTGCCGTCGAAAAGAAATGAGCAGGTCTCACTCCACACTGGCCACCAGCACGCTGGCTGCTCTGACCCAGTGTGTGGTCAGCCTGTCCGCGTCCCCTTCCGGGAGCGGGAAGGAAATGGTCGCCGGCGACCCCCAATGCGCCCCCTGTTCACCACGAGCCTCCGTGTCAATCAGGGCACCGCGCGCCTCCCCTGCAGAGGCGTCACCCCCAGGCCCGCGGGGGGGGGGGGGGGGACCCACCTTGGATGTAGTAGCCGTCGCGCAGCCCCCCGAACTTCTCCTGCCCGGCCGTGTCCCACACGTTGAACTTGATGGGCCCGCGGTTGGTGTGGAACACGAGCGGGTGCACCTCCACGCCCAGGGTGGCCACGTACTTCTTCTCGAACTCGCCCGTCAGGTGGCGCTTCACGAAGGTGGTCTTCCCGGTGCCGCCGTCCCCGACCAGCACCAGCTGCGGGAGGCTTATAAATAATTGACAACTTACCAACTATTATAATTTTTTAAAAATTAATTTCCCTAAGACAATATAAAAAAACATAAGACAATTACTACAAAAAAGAAGAGAGAAAGTCAATTTTCCAAATGTTCTCAAAGCTAAAGGAATGGTTTTAATTTTTATTCATTCTTTTGTCAGTGTTTCATCCTTCACCTATCTCCTATACTTTATCTTCTGTGGGACAAACTGAGCTGAGCAGGAAGAATCATCAGACACAGGACCTCAGCACCTCGTTTATTTTCTGAATGTACTTGTTCCTTGGGAAAGGAAACTCACTCTGAACCGGCCCAGAAGGAATGTCCTCGGGCATTTTCAGATTTGTATATCTTCTCTTCCCACACACGGTCGATCTTTATATTTCACTTCACTTCAACACTCTGGGCTCTATTGCTTCTGTCACCACTCTTATCTCTGTGACTCTGTCTCTGATTTCTGCCCTCCTCACTCTCTGGGGCCTCAGTAATGCATCCTCCTTACTATTCATCATGCAAGGACAGGCTGGGGTCACTTGCCTCAGCGCTTTGAACTTTGAATGATAGTGTCAGTCCAGAAAGACCTTTGCTCCTCAGCACATTTCAGCAGTTAATTATCTCACTTCCAAGTCAACTCAAATGTCATTTTCTCAGAGGAAGCTACTCTGGTAATTCTATTTAAACCCTAACTTCCGGAGGTAGTTCCACTCCTAAGCCCTCTTTTCTTAATCTACATTTTCTTCCATAGCCCATAAACTAGAAACTATATTCCAGGTTACTAGAAATTTACTTCTATTGTATTTCTTGTTTATTGTTTAATGGATACATGCACATTGTCTATTATATATAACTAGAGGCCCATTGCATGAAGATTCGAGCAATAGGCCTTCCTTCCCCTGGCTGCCGGGACCGGTTTCCCTCCCGCACCAGGGACCCAGGCCTTCGGTCCGGCCACAGCAGCGAGGCTTGGCTTCTCCGCTCTGGCCGCAGCGAGGCTTGGCTTCTCTGCTCCAGCTGCAGCGGAGAAGCCAAGCCTCTTCAGCCTTCAGTCATCTTCAGTCTTTGCTTAGCACCTGCAAATGCAAATTAATTGCCATCTTTGTTGGGTTAATTTGCATACTCATCCTGATTGGCTGGTGGGCATAGCGGAGTGACACCAATTTGCATGTTTCTCTCTCTTTTTTTAAAAATATATTTTATTGGGGCCCGGCAGCCCCCTCCGGTGCCCGGTGGGGGTGCGGTCCCCGATCCCTGCCCCTGGGTCTCCCATCAGGACCTGGGGGGGCGGGGGGCGGGACAGTGTGGAATCGGCCCGCAGGCTTTGGGGCGTTTCCTGCAAACGGGGTGATGGGTCTGTGCGTGTGCAACCCGCGCGGCTCATCCTCGTGGCAAACCCGGTGCAGCTCCTGAGGTTCTAGGCTCCAGACTCTGGGCCGAAGGCTGCCGGGTGCAGAAGCCATTGCTCCCGCCGTGGACGGGAAAGCGGGGAGGCCACATGCTAGGCTGGGCGCTCAGGGAAGGCCTGCCTGGCGGCTTTGCAAACCCCGAGGCCTCCAGGAACCCCAAAGGAGGGTCTGGAGTGGAACACTGCACTGAAAGCGGTTGGCAGGGGGTGGTCGGGTCCGGGCCAGTATTTTCCCCGACGAAGGGCAACTTCCGACCTTTACCCAGCCTGTCGTCTGTCTGCATCTAACAGCGGTTCTCAACCTGGGGGTCGCGACCATCGGAAAACACATCTATAATTACATATTGTTTTTGTGATTAATCACTATGCTCTAATTATGTTCAATTTGTAACAATGAAAATACATCCTGCATATCAGATATTTACATGACGATTCATAACAGTAGCAACATTACAGTGATGAAGTAGCCACGAAAATAATGTTATGGTTGGGGGTCCCCACAACATGAGGCACTGTATTAAAGGGTCGCGGCATGAGGAAGGTTGAGAACCACTACTTTGTCCACAGTTTGGCTCAAATAAACTCACAAAATTCTTTACAGGTTTGTTTTGTGTGTGTGTGTGTCTTCACGTTGACACCGGGGTGCCCCCTCCATGGGGTGGTCAGGCTAGAAAATGAGATGAGTGGGCCGAACGGAGTCCTCCAAGCTCCCAAGTCTAAGGCTGGTTTTGGCATTTGTAGGGACAGCCACCGTGTTTTTTTGTTTTGGGGGTATTTAAATTTTTTTAAAAAATATATTTTTTCTGATTTCAGAGAGGAAGGGAGAGGGGGAGAGAGAGAGAAAGATCCATGATGAGAGAGAAAATCATGGCCCGGCTGCCTCCTGCACGCCCCACACTGGGGCCCCCAACCGGGGCCTGTGCCCTGACCGGGAATCGACCTCCTGGTTCATAGGATGGCACTCAACCCCTGAGCCACACTGGCCGGACGACGGCCACTGTGTTTGAACTGCCGTCTAGGCCCCCTCCCCAGGCCAGCGTCCAGGAGTGGCCGCTGAGCAGGCAGCCGGGCGTCCCTTCCCACAACGGGCCTCAGGAGGACCCAGGTGACCGAGGGCCTCGCCACGAGTCCCCAGCGCACCCACAGGCACGTCCGCTGGGAGCCTGAGTGACGCGGGTTGGGCCCAACAGGTCTGGGAGTCTGCCCGCGGGGGACTCCGGGCCAGGGCCCAGGGAGCGTGAAAACCCCCAGCAGAGGCTCGTGCTGCTGGTGGGCGCGTGAGTTGGTCCCGCCTCCGGGACAGCAGAAACGAACAGAACACACGTGTCCTGCGTTCCTAGCCCTGTGTGTTCATTTCTAGGGATATGCCCTGGAGTTTAGCACAAAGGCACACGGAGATGGATCACAATGCTCACTGTGACATAACGACAGTCAGTGGAACCTCTGTGAATGTCCAGTTGGGAAAATGCATAAGGAAACTAGGGTGTGAGCTATTCTGTGGGTTACTATACAGCATTTTATTTTATTTATGTACTGGAGGCCCAGTGCACAAAATTTGTACACGGGTAGGGTCCCCAGCGGCTACAGGCTGGGGCACCTCCCTTCCCCTGGCGGCCCGCTGTCGCTGGCCCTGCCCCCTGCTCCCTTCCAGGCCTCCCTTCCTGGCCCTGCCCCCTGGTCAAACTCCCGGTTGAGGGGACAATTTGCATGTTAGGCTTTTATTATATAGGATTTTAAAT